TAAATGAATGCTGAAGGTCCAAGTCACTTGAAGCCATTTAGAAACCAATCATAATAAATTTTAACGGGGATGGTGTGTAATGTCGGGACGACATTGTTTTGTAAGATGGGGGTAGTGTGGAGAGTACCGAAGGATCAAGCTTGTGGAGCACGACGGACCCAAGGATCAAACGCCTGACCAATTACGGCCGTCTGACACCCAGACACGACCATCCATCTGACCAGGGCATTTACCTGGGACGTCTAGACCGACAATGGAGAAGGGGGCGGGGTATAATCTGGACTGGGAGGTATAAATAGGGAAGAAGGTGGACGGACTAGAGGGAGAGCAGGGAGAAGTCAGAGCAGGGAGAAGTCAGAGTTGGAAGATGAGTGATAGAGTAAGCAAGTGATAGATCAAATAAAGAACACGAGTTTAATGATCCAATGTATCACCGGAGTTGTTTACTTATTGAGCACCAGAGAGATGAAGTTTGTCGGAGTGTAAGCAAGGTCCCTTACAATATTATTCCTATTATTACTGGAGTCATGTCCATTTTATTGTTGTTGTTTTTTTTTGGTCGTGTTATATCATACAACATTTTCCTCAGTGCCATACAACTCAAGTACTACATTTTTCTTAGTGCCATACAACTCATGTACAACATTTTTCTCTGTGCCATACAACTCAAGTATCACATTTCCCCCCTATAAAGTCTCGAGGTTCACAGAAGTTTAAACTTTCATAAATACTATTTAATCTAAATCAGTGGATCTCAAATGGCGGTCCACGACCCTAACGTGGCCGTCAACACAACATAAATATATCTCGTAGAATAAAAAGAAAATGTAACAAATAAAATCTGGCACCGGTCCCTGGTGCAATATTTCAAAAGCGTGTCCACCGGTACCTGGTGTAATATTTCAAAAGTGAGTTCACCGGTCCCTGGTGCAATATTTCAAAAGCGTGTCCACCGGTACCTGGTGTAATATTTCAAAAGTGAGTCCACCGGTACCTGGTGCAATATTTCAAAAGTGAGTCCACCGGTCCCTGGTGCAATATTTCAAAAGTGAGTCCACCGGTCCCTGGTGCAATATTTCAAAAGTGAGTCCACCGGCACCTGGTGCAATATTTCAAAAGCGAGTCCACCGGTCCCTGGTGCAATATTTCAAAAGCGAGTCCACCGGTCCCTGGTGCAATATTTCAAAAGTGATTTCACCGGTTCCTGGTGCAATATTTCAAAAGTGAGTTCACCGGTACCTGGTACAATATTTCAAAAGCGAGTCCACCGGTCCCTGGTGCAATATTTCAAAAGCGAGTCCACCGGTACCTGGTGCAATATTTCAAAGGTGAGTCCACCTGTTCCTGGTGCAATATTTTAAAGGCGTGTCCACCGCTGCTCCCAAAATTATTAGCTATTATGTAAAAAAAATAAATAATAGTAATATTTTATTATTGTATTGAATTCAACATTAGCTGATTTTGTTCCCAATGAAATCAGATTTGTGTCGTCATTAAAATATTCCGACAAGCGATGATCTCCCTTGTATTGCTTCTGGTAGCTTAACTTCACCTTCACCTTATATTTAGCAAACTCAAATCTCTATCAAAGATAACAATCCATTGCCAACAAATATTTCTTATATTTATAGATTTCCCATTTATTGGATTTTATAGAAACATCATCTGATAACAGTTACCATAAAGAAAATATTGATTTTATAAAAGAAGCCTTGGGTAATTTAATAGCAAGTGAGAGTGAAAATTACATTTTTATTACTCTTTTCTTATCTCAGATGGATCTCATACATACTAAGAAGAATATATTGAATTATAATAGTGATCTTTTCTTGTTTTCATTATTATTTTATTTATTATCTCCTTCAGCTTACAAATATGTTAGAAATTCTGGCAAGATAATATTACCACATCAAAGTACCATAAGAAGAGTTTGTAATTCGTTTAAACTTGGGCCTGAATTAGAACAGAGAAAGGAAGTTTTTTTGTTTTTTGTTTTATGTAAGACAGCAAATGAATGGACTAAAGGAAAATGAAAAGACTGATTTTGATGCTAGATGAAATTCATCTAAAACAATTAGTTTAGACAGAGGGGCTTAAAGTATCAACAGAAACCTCTGGTTGATTTAGTTTTATATAACTATTTAGTTGTTAGTAAACTAACAAGTGGCAAGTACTACAAAAAATTTTTAAGTGAAGAAAACCAGAGATGACTAATATCATTAACATTTCTAATAATTTAAATATCTGAAATTAAGGTCGGGGAGGAAAGACTAGAGACTGTAGGCCGCTTCAAATACCTAGGAGCAATAGTCACCGAAGAAGGCTCCAAGCCCGAACTGATGTCCAGGATTGCGCAGACTACTACTAAAGAGGCTCAAGAAAATACGGAATGACAAAAATGTAGCCCCCAACACCAAAATCAGGCTGATGCGCTCATTAGTCCTCTCCATTTTCCATATGCCTGCGAATCTTGGACATTAACAGCCGATATTGAATGGAAAATAAATGCGATGGAGATGAGATGCTACAGAATCATTTTTGGCATCTGCTATAGGGACCATATCTCCAATGATACAGTGAAGGAAAGGGTTCGTCAGGCAATTGGGGAGTACGATGACGTACTGGTGACTGTGAAAAAACGCAAACTACAATGGTACGGCCACTTAACAAGGAAACAAGGGCTTGCCAAAGAAATGTTGTAGGGTACCACAAGAGCAGGGAGAAGAAGAGGAAGACAAAGAAAAAGATGGGAGGATAACATCAAAGAGTGGACAGGACTAACACGGGGCGATGTTGTGCGTTGTGCAGAAGACAGAGAAGAATGGAGGTGGATAGTTTACATGTCATCTGTGGCGCCCCAACGGTCCAAGGACTAAGGGACATGATGATGATGATGTATCTGGTAGCCTATAATTATGTTTATAAACACAATCATTTCATTTATATACAGATGAAGTACCTTCGCTATTTTCATTTATTTAACCACCATTTGTCATGAAATGTCTGTATGTTATATCTTAAATAATGACAGTACTGTTAACTGCCTTTCATTCATAATTTGCATTTTATTTATATCATTTTATGCTATTCATAATGCTATTATATAATACATATTGCTATAGATTTAGGTACCCGTAAATAACATTAATACAGTATGTTAACACCAACAAAAAGTTCTATTTTTAAACATCTGACCTTGGATATCATTTGAATGTTCTTATGTCCTAGTTAAAGAAACGAAACACGACATATTTTGGTCACCTTTTCATTTAACATATAATTAATATCACATATTATATTTTGTGCTTTTAAAATTAAATTGACAAATACATTTTTGTTTATTTTGTCAATGAAAAAAAAACAATTCTTAATTCAAATAAATAGTTTTGTGTGAATGTTTTATTATTATATGTTGAAAATATAGTTGATTGTCATATTCATTATAATTACGAGATAACTCACAATGCAGTCTTGATTTTTTGGTTGTAAACTAAGCGGAAAATTAAATAATAATGTCAAATTCACGCTTATTTCTTTTAAACTTTTAAAATTTCTGTGTATTGAAAAGTATTGTCTGTCCTCTGTAATGGTTTGTACTGTTGTGTTGTTGACATTAGCAGTATTTTTCTTAGTCCTGCATTTACATAATATTATAAGACGATATTTGACAATACGTTTTGACCTGCATAATTCGATTTACAGGTAGCGCAAAAAATTACAATAATTAGTTACCGTACAACTCAAATTATTTTCATTTAAAACACGTTTCAAGTAGCTAATGTTAGTTAAATCAATATATGTTTAATTTGACATTCAAAGAATAGTTCTCAAATCGATTTAGTAAAGCCCCAGCAGACTACACAGCGAGGCGTAACTTAAGCTTTAGACTGCTACCGCTACCAAAGGCCTCCCTCGTGTGACGTCACAAACCTGCGCTAAGGCCTTGTACTCTAGTGGGTCATGTCTCGCCCCAGCCATTACAATACAGGTGTACATTACAGGTGTACAGAAAAGTTGGCACACCGCAGTACAGGACGTCACACTCGAGCTGAACAACATCCGTCCAGAATTCACAGGATTAGTACCGATAGGAGCTCAAAACACATCTCCTAGCACTGGAAATTCAAAAGTTATATTTTAAGATTGTGAACAAATCTCATTTGTTTTGTTTTCTCGATGTGTTGAATTTTCTTATTAGGACTAAATGACCCTGTGTAAAATTGACTGGGGTCAGTCACAGATGACAGACATTTTTCTTTGTATACCTAAATATTGAACTGATTTTATCCCCCATTTTCTATCTGACTTCAATCTGACTTCAATCTGACTTCTTTATAACTGCTGCCCATGTACCATATTTTTTCTACCTAACTCCTCTTTGACGTCAGTCGAGCTTCTGTCTTATTCCATCTTATTCTATCTTATTTGATCTTATTCTATATCCGATCTGTCATCCGTGTTATTTCCATCTAAACTCCATCTCACACTGCTATATTAATAATATCACACTATCATCAAATTTCCAAATTCTATTATTTAAATTCTAATATCTGAATTCTAATATCTAAACTCTAACATGTAAATTCTAATATCTAAACTCTAAAATGTATATTCTAATATCTAATTTCTAACATCTAAATTCGATACTAAGTCGATTTCTTTTCATATTCCCGGGGAAATCATATTCTAGTTTCATAACACTCAAGACGGGGGTGGAGGTAAAGGGGCAGTGCGCCCCGGGCAGCTTTTTTATTTTACATTTTGGGGTGGCATGTTTGGATAACTGCCAGATTTTTTAATAGAAGCGGGCGGAAAAAATCCGCCGGCGTAACTTAATTTTGCTACGTCAATGACCCAAATTAATGACCTCTATTGGGCTGGTATGTCCTTATTTACAATAATCTATGATAATGACGTCATCCACATATCTATAATATCTTTTCTAATATGTTTATAGTTTTTGCTTTTATTCCCCTAACAACACAGGCACCAAACAAAACATGTACGTGGTTTTGATTCTCGTGATCATCCTATCATCCATTTTCTTGACATTCCCAAAACTGTTTGGCAGACGTCGACAAGGTCGAACGATACCAGGACCTTCCTTTCTGCAAGGTCTGAAACTCGTTTATCTGCCCGACTTGGCCAGGAAGCAAAGGGACATGATGCAAATTGACCTTTTGGTGGCGAGAGTAATCATCGTAAATGACGCAGAGGTGTACCGGAAGCTCGTCACGGCCCGGGAGTTTCGGAACTTGACCAACGACAGACCCGGAACTTTCGTCGGCAACTACCACGCGTACGAAGGCCGGGACATCATCCTGGCGGACCACGTCCCGGAACAAATCAAACGGAAAAAAAGTTTTTGTCGGTTTCCTGAAGCGATTCGAAGGAAGCGGCTAGCATTTCGAAAATCGAATGTCAGAAACGCTGAACGAATTAAAAGCAGGATTCAAAAATGGTAAGAACGTGAAATTTTCCAGCCAGATCAAGGGGTATGTATTAAATCTCGTGTGTGTGCTGCTAACCGAAAATACGTCAGAGCAAGGTTTGTACGATCTGACGACCATCGAGGACTTTACGAAATCTCTCGATGAAATATTTCTGATTGAGAACGAGACGTTCCTGCACACGTTTCCGTTCCTGGGTTTCGCTCCGGGGTTAAAGTTCAAAGCCCTACACGAGAATCTAACCAACAGTGCGCACAACCTGCATGAGGCTTTCTTCTACGCTGTCAAAGCAACCATCAAACCCGGACTGCAAAGGGGCTTCATAGATGACCTCCTCAATGCCCAACATGAGCTGGACCAGGAAGGTTGTCCCCAGCTGTTCGAAGATGAAGCCGTCAAGGCTATGATTCAAAATGTGGTCGTCGGTGCTTATCTGACCACATTGTCCACCGTCGAGACTCTGTTCCTCCACCTGCTTCATCGTCAGGACATACAGGACAGGATCTTCCAGGAAATTGTTGACGTCATCGGCGAGTCGCCACCGAGGCTCCATCACCGTCCGTCGATGCCGTTCACGGAGTCCGTCATCCTTGAAACGCTCTGTCTCTCGGCGCTGGCTCCTTTTTACGTCCCGCACCGGATCCGGGAGGATGTCCTCTTCGACGAATACGTCATCCCCAAGGGAACCGTCATCCCCAAGGGAACCTTCATCCTCAAGGGAACCGTCATCCCCAAGGGAACCGTCATCCCCAAGGGAACCGTCTTGCAGATGAACAGCTGGTTCAACCTGCACTTGGAGAAGAGATGGATCGACCCGTGGACGTTCCACCCGTCATGATTTCTCGACGACAACGGACGCCTGCTGAACGCCGACAACCCGAAACGACGCCAGCTGCTGCCCTTTGGGGTGGGGCTCAGGATGTGCCCGGGAGAGGCCCTCGTGAAGTCCAAGATTTTTATGATCGTGACCACCTTGCTGCAGCTCCTTCCTCCGGACGATGGGTTTATGTTACCGTCTGCCGACCCGAGGGACTGGCCGGGAAGTGCTGTGCTGAACCTGGCGAACTACACGTGTAAAGTGATGGTCAGATAGGCATGGGCTAGTCCAAAGGGCGTGTTTGGCGGGATGGGGGGGCGGGGCAGGGGGGCAATCGATATTCTTGTGGATCGTAAAGTGAGTTTATAAAAGTAAAATTTCATTAATAGGTTGCTTAAAGTGTATAGACATCTTTCTCATCATCACAGGATGTTTACTATGAGTATGTCTTGATGTCATGTTACATGACACATAAATTCCATGAGCACAACATCATGATGCGTAACTATCTAATTTCCTGATTTAAATCTATTTTACATTTCAATTCCTTTTGCCGTACAGTTTGGTGTGTTAAACATGTAATGTGCTATTTAAGTCATTCCTTGTACATGACATTTTTTGATGTCAATGTGTCTTTTGATACTGAATTATTAATACATTAAATGTACATGAAAGTTACTTTTTGGTGTGTTTATTTCAAATATGCTTATGTCTACAGCCGTGTTCCTTGTACATCACAGCCGTGTTCCTTGTACGTAACAGCCGTGTTCCTTGTACGTCACCTCCATGTTTCTTGTACATCACAGCTATGTTCCTTTTACATCACAGCTATGTTCTTTGTACATCACAGCCGTTTTCCTTGTACGTCATAGCTATGTTCCGTGTACATGACATCTATGTTCCATTACATCACATTTATGTTCCCTTACATCACAGCCATGTTCCTTACGTCACATCTATGTTCCCTTACATTACATCTATTTCCCATACATCAAAGATACGTTCCCGTACATCACATCAATGTTCCCATACATCACAGCCATGTTCCCTTACATCACAGCCATGTTGCCATACATCACAGCTATGTTCCTTTACATCCCGTCACGATGGCCCAACTTAATCCCCCTAGTCTTTAGAGTGGCCCATGCCAGTACACAAAGGCACGCCCACGTGACCTGAGCCCCGGAGCTAAGCCCATGAGGTTTCCCGTTACGCTTGAGCTCCCGAGCTCGAAAGTCTTCCATTACCTTCCTAAGACAACACCGTGTGCAACAGTGACCTTATGCCCTGTTGACTGACAAGTTCAGTCACCCGTGACCTGGTGGCAGTAAAAGACACGTAAGTTGCCAGACGTAAACAGGGGCGTTTCTCTGGAGGAAACAAAATGACATGATCGCAAGAGCAGTTTGGGGGGTATCTTGTCTGCAATGAAAGTTTTAAGACGTAGTGGATGCGCCTTTGAGATGCGTAACCCAGTCAGGTGTCCCACAAAAATGGCTTATGTGTCACATAAAGTAACTCAAGTAACACCTCGTCCTTGATCTAAGACAAAGGTCACGTCCTATTTTAAGTGATGTTATGCTTATAGCTTCCTATGGCAATCCGAGATGCCAAGATTGCTTCAGAATGAATTCCCAACAGTCGGGGATGAAAGCGAACAAACTGCTTTAAAAAGTCTAGGTCAGTCTTCCAAGCTTCGGAGGAGGAAAAATGGCAAACAGTTGCCACGCCCCTGGGGAGTGGGGGGTCTTATTTTATTTTTTATTTTTTTTTTATTAGTGTAAAAGGGGAGGGGGGTAAGAATGTGTTCCTTTTCGGTCCACTTCGTATTCTATATATGGCATATGTTTAATATATATTCGTAGGGATTTTCGAGAGGGGGGGGGGCAGAAAAGTCAAGGAGCACCCCGGGTGTCACAAAAATCTTCAAATACTTGCAGTATTGACACACTGCTACTTGACTCATCATCACCTGGGCAATACCCCCCCCTCCTTTTTTTTCATACATACGCCAAGGGCGAGCGCAGAGCTCAACATTCCAAGAAACCAGATAACTAAATTCTATCAGAGAGGGAGAGAGAGGGGGGAGAGAGAGGGAGAGAGAGAGAGAGAGGGGGGAAGAGAGAGAGAGAGAGGGGGAGAGAGAGAGAGAGAGAGAGAGGGAGAGGAGAGAGAGAGAGAGACAGAGAGAGAGAGAGAGAGAGAGAGAGAGAGTCCGTGCGCCTGGGATTTTTCCCGATGTTCCTATTCCAGAAGTGCGTATGGCCGGTGTGTAGAAATGAAGCCAAGTGTGGCCCCCGGGGCGGCAAGCGTTAAGATTGGGTGGTCCTCTCACTTCAAACAACCACTGTGGGGGGGGGTCGGGGCATGTGTGGCCAGTGGCGAAGATAAATGGGACTGTTTTTGGATGTTGCATTGATCTAAGCACCCTCGCTTCCCCACCCCCTCTCAAACGAGGGAGACGGAGATTTTTTTTCCTTCAGGTTATGGCACCGTCGATAACAATTATAGCAACATCTTGATGTTATGGCACCGTCGATAACAATTATAGCAACATCTTGATGTTATGGCACC